CCGCAACCCCGCAGAGCCGCGGGCAGCTCCGCCGGGGCCCTGCCGCCCTCCCAGCCTCTAGCACGAAGAGATGGGGGCGAGAAGGCACCGGCAGAACAGCGACATCGGGTACCTATTGTGTTTTCTGTCGAGCTGTGGTTTGCGTTACGCTCGATTCACTGCAGACGCTTCCATTTTCAGCGCGGCACACCGCTCCGCTACTGCTCGGTGCTCTCGGAAAACGAAGCTCAGGTGAATAAATACGTGACCACTTCGAAGACCAAGCAAAGAGCCTTAGATCCGAGCCTAAGCTCTGCAGTACTGCAGACATGCAAACCAGCATTTGCATATTATAGTTTAAAAAAGCATATAGGAACTAATTAGGCAGCTTTATGGCTTGCACACGTTCTAATTAATTTGTAATGTGTTTCATGAGGGTCTGGTACCCTTGAGATGTCACGCAGCTTCTAACACTTCTAACCCTAATGAAGCAGGACACTATTTTCCCAAAGGATTGAAGACAGCTGAATCTCTCACAAAACAGCAGCTTGAATCAATATCAGAGCTGACACAGGAGGATTCCACTGTGAACTTTATGCTAATTTAGAATTAGTACAATACCAAGTTTAATTTGCTGCAATGTAAAGAGAAAGAAGCATTGAACTGTGCAACTGCTCAAGTCCACTTTCAAGGTGCTCCCTACATTCCCTCCTTGTTTCATACACACGGTAATTCAGGATTGTCCTCTGAAGAATTGGTTGACCATCCCCCAGTCAATTCCCACACATCATTGAAGTAAATATGATTAATTACAAGGAGCTAACCCCAGTGTTCCATCTCCTGCACAGAGTAAAACTAAGTTATTAGGTATGAATACCCAAGGTCTTGCTAAAGTATTTATAAACATGAGAGCACTGACATGCTTAGAATGCCAGAGGGAGCAGGGGAGAAAGCATAAAATATTTATTCCTCTAAGTATTTAAAATAACCTTGGGACTCTAAGGCTGATTACTATTTGTGATTTGCATACATAATAAACACTACATACCCTCAGGTAGGTTTGAATTGCTTTGTGTTTCCAGTGCAGCTCCAGGTTGGCAAGACTGAACATTTTTATTCCTTGTTGAGGAAGCAAACCACCCCCTGTGCTTCCTACCCCACAGGAGAGAATCAAGGGGAATACAGAAAGAAAGCACTTCCTTAGCTCTGAGTATTTCTGTTTAAAGATAACATTTCTTAAAGAAATCCACCTGTTCTCTTAAAAAGCTTAATGACACAGCCTGCCTTGTAAACCCACACATGGGATTTCCGTGTTCCTATAAAACAGCTATGTTACAGAACAATTAATTATCAGAGATATTCAGATAATGGCCCAGAGCTGGATTACAGGAAGATCTGTTTGAAGAGAGAACTGCAAAATCAAAAGGGCACAGAAGAGAACTCAAAACTAGAGAAGAGGGGCAGGCAGCACCATGCACACACAAATCTCAGGCAGTTTCACAGCTGCCAGCAGGGAACCCCCCCAAGAAGGCAGCAAGCCAGCCAGGGTCAGACACCCAGCACAACGATGCTGCTCGAAGGAGGTAGTTGTAAGGTTCAGCAAAAATACTGCTGAGTAAGGATCACTATAATGGAGTTGCTTTGATTGTAAATTCTTTTTGTTCTGAGTTTTTAAACTATATGCTAATTTAACTTAATAAGAACAGACATATTCTATTAGTATTCCCAAACATAATAAATTAATCCATCGGTTTAATCTTGAGCCTTGACACACAGAATGAAGAATCAATGAGCAGTACATTCCTTTTAGTACCTTCAACAAACTAAAGTAAGTTCTCATTCATACTGACCGAAAAGTCAAAATATGTGGGAAGTGTTCATACGCTGAGCAGTCATACGTAGCTTTAAAGAGTTTTGGGAAATAGAGAGTAAAAATGTTTGTAGACACACGCCTCCAAAAATCAACAGATCTAAGGAACTCTTCCTCATTTTACATTGACCTGGATATATATATACGTAAAATGCAGTATTTGACAGATTTCATTTTTCAAAGTAGAGTTTAAAGTAGGTAGTTTGTTTTCAGCAATTATTCCCTCTGACAACAACTACAAATAAGGATCCTTCTCATTCTTTTCCCAAAAGCCTTTCTAGTTTAATAAAGGAAGCGTGGCACATCTTCTCAAAGAGTTCTTACAGTAGTACTGAGAAAGACATTGGAAAGCACCTGACAGTTATTTGAAAGAATCGGTTTTTGCTAGCATCAAAAGCAAAACCATACAGTTTTCACTTAAGCATGAATTGCATAGAGAATTTTGATAGGAGGCATTATAAAATTCAGTTTATCATCTTGAAATAAAGAAAAACAAAGATACAAAACCACGTTCCCCACTTTCATATCTGCATCTCTCAGTATTCCATGTTTTACTCTAGTCCCAATATCTTTAGGCAGATGATAAAAGTCATGTGGAAGACAAACAACAACAAACACTGACAATATAAACCCCAGGATTCTCCAAGTCTCTACCCCTCAGCTGTGGGGGAAGGACCAAAAAGTTAACTGTAAGCAGTTAAAGTAAATAAAAACACCCGTATCAGATTCTGAAATCTCAGCACTTCAGCTTAAAGCCTAAGATACAACATTAAACAGATACTAATGCAAGCCTTGTAAATCTAGAAGCTACATAGAAAGCACATCAGCACAAGCCATCATTTTTCACAGCTATAAGCTTCTGCAATTTCTACATTAACTCCTGATTTTTGTAGTCTGCATTCAGAATGCTATGAGTACCAATATTTTAGTACTATATTAGACTTTCCAAAGATGTTCTTCAATTTGCCTTATTTAAGAATCTTTCAGCCCAACTTTTATAGTGATAAGAAATGGGAAAAAAAACCCAAATCAAACCCAAAATATTGTGACACATGCGCAACTGAAATATTAAGGCCAAAGGACTTTTACACTTTGGTCAGAATCAAGAGTGAAGGAAACTGAGTTTGCAGGAATATTGTTGAACAAGCCTTTCAGTAAGGCATTTATGGATACATGTGTGGGGAAGCTTGGTTCTTTAGGAAAAGAAGGTACAAATGTTTTCAAAACTGAGATTCCAGAAGTCAGTTCTTTCTTGGCCTCACCAAACTAATTTGGCTCAAATCCAGAACTGAAAGAGAAAGGTCCGGTGAGATCCCACTCAAACATATTAAGTAAGACTGACAAATGCCTTTGCTAGGGACAGAATCACCCAGGCGGAGATAAACATCGGGTGGGGATGGTACCTGGCACACAGACCGAGACCAAACACACAGCTCTACCCTTTCTCAGCCAACTCAGTACTCCACAGGTGCACAAACATTAAGTCCATATGGTTTAGGCAGAAAGCATTTAGCTCTTAGTGACAGAGAACTCATTGCCAAATTGATTTCCTCCTCCTGCCAAATGCTACTACTCTTTCTGTGTTTGCTCAAATACTGACTTCAAAACAAAAGCCCTCCTTTTTAATAAAGGAAAGGACAAGTCGCCTCGTTTATGCAGAAGGTCTGGTTTTAAATAGCTATTCTTCATAGCCACAACTTCAATACCAATTAGTCCCTGAATATCAAGGAATTTGAAACACTCACCACATAAAACTTTACTTCTAATACAAAAGAGCACAAGCCAGTCTCCTCACTCTCCAAAATGCCCATAATCCTTAAATACCCACATGCAATTTAAGATTAATAGAAAAAGTCTTACCTTTTTCTTCAAAGATAATCAGGTACACAAACCAGCTGTCACAGAGGTTCCTTTTTCCATCAAGTATGAAGGATGTTCAGTAGCAGTAAACCCTTAAATAAAACCTGACGCTAGCCTGTACCGCAGAACCGCGCGAGGCATCGCACAGCACCTACCAGCAGGTGTATTTATACAGCTCAGCCGCATTTGCCTGCTGCACCTTCTGAGGGCAAGAGCCTCCCTAGCACTGCAACACTGACTGCAAAAGCAGTGAATCAGTTTCCTGCTTCTTTAACTGACTCACTAATTAAGACCATTATCAGTAAACTCTTTACATATGGAGACAAGGACATCTGAATTTTCAGACTTTTCACACTCATTTTGTGAGTTTTTCCATTTAAAGCAAATAGAAAATGAGTGGTACTCTGAATTTTAGTCAGTATTTCCAGTAACAAACACATTAAAGAATTAGATTTTTTTCTCTTTTTGCTGAGGGAGAGGAACACAGAAATTCATAACTTGCTCAGTGAAGCTTCCTTGCCAGCACTCCAGAGCATACCATTTTGTTAAAAATCCAGGACCAAACCATCGTCTAAGATTCTTTTTTTCTGGATTCACACAAAACCCCCCACATGGGTATATGCCTCACTATTTATTCATCTAGCTTCTCATACTCATCTTGCAGAATGACAGGCAAGTATAACCAAAGTCAAATTCAACTGTTCCTTTGCACCACATTGAATTTCATAAAATTCTAATATCAATTAAAAAACCAGCAGCTTTCTGCACCAGTTCATAGAGCCGAGCGGTCTTACCATTATCAGTATCGCCATTACCAGAAAATCTGAACCTCCTGGAGAAAGTGAATAAAACTTTGTCTTCTTACTCTAACATACATAATATTTTCAACTCTTCCAATACAGTACATAATGAAACTCATGAAAGACATTGGAAGCAATTTTCAAATGGACCACATTCTTTTTCTGGAAGGCTGAATAGCTGACTTTAAGCCATCCAAAGGACAATATATTTGAGAACTACTTTTCCCTTTCTAGGCATACTCCACCTCCTCATTAATAACATTCTCTCACTAAGACGGAGAAGTCAGTTTCCAAATATTTAATTATAATTGGAAAAAGATTACAAAATACAAAGTTTTATTGTACTTGGGACTACAGAAATGTGTTACTTCAGTTCTTCCATTTCCTTCGAATTCAAGAAAAAGTAACAAGCAAAACAAATGACAATAAAAACTAACAGATGTATGAACTAGTTTCACCAACTAAGCTTGAAAATTCAGAAGGATTTTGCCAAATAAATTTCAATGGCTGAACCTGGCAGATGCTATTCCCCACAGAAGTGCTGCATTCCCAGAACGAACTAATGCCCTTCAGTCATCGAGGCAAAGCAGGACTTAGAAAGAAATCTTAGAAAGCATCTCCCAACACTGGAGTAAGCTGAAGCTTTTGGGATCCTCCGTCAGCTCAGAGCTCATCATGTTTTGCAGGGTCCATACTGGGTTTGATGAAGACTCCCTCCATGGCTTTCCAGTAGTTGTGGTGATTAGCGGTAGGCATGCCGTGAACTTCCCGCTGGCCTCTAATGGGGTGCCCGTACTGTTCCCCCGTTATGGAAAGGAACACCTCAGTCCCCACGTGCTTGAAGCGCACCGCGTCCTCCCGCTCCCAGTGAGTCCCACTGCATTGCACGATCCATATATCGAGGTCATCTCCTTCGCCATCGTCACCAAAGGCACTTACTTCCTGTTAGAGACACAAACTTCCTGAAGTGAAAACATGAGCAGATACCTCCGACACACACACACAAATATCAACCACAAAGCCCGCAGCGTGGAAAGGCAAGGATGCAGAGGAATGGAAACGTGTCGTTCCATTGCTTTGCCAGCAGTTACCAAACCACTGGCAGTAACTTTCTACCACTACGGTCTGAACACAACGGGCCAACAAACTCCAACACGTCGTCTGAGCAAAAGGTGCCCACAAACCCCAACATGCATTACAAAAGAAACAAAAGGGGATTCACCACAGAGATCAGAACAACCTTTCTGAGAAAAATTTCAGAAGAAACAACGCTAATGTTGATGCAAACTTTCCACACCCCAGAAAACGTTTGTGTCAGAAGACATTTAGCTTTGCAGTGTGACGGTCTTCACCGTGACCACTGCAACGGGTTAATTCAGTGGGCGTTTTTATCACAATGTCCCAACAATTTAGCTTATTAAGTAATCATATTCCTTTTTTACTTAATTATATCAAGCTCACAATTGGGTCAAGAACTATTCTGGTTTACACTCTTCAGACAGACCACTGAATAGCTCTTCAGAAAAAATAAAGACGACCATTAAAACAAATGTATTCCTGCTAAAACAGAAGTTAGAAATTAGATTTCATTATGCACCAAAAAAATTCCAAGCATTTCCAGAAAATGGGTAAGTTACGCTTCAACTGTTTAGGATTCTAGACAACCTTTAATTCTTAAAAATCCAGTAACTAGAAGCAATGAACAACTTGAAAACAGAACTGCAATAGCTTGCGCCTAGCAACCTAAAATTTTACAGCCACGTTAACTCAAGTTTATGTAGCCCAAAAAGTGTGAAAGACAACACACGAATTGAAAACCCAGCTTCCGTTAAGAACATGAAATAGAGGTTTGTGTTCCGAACTACAACATATTTCAAAAATGTCGTAAGTCACAGTCCTGTCAGTCTCTGGGAAGCCATGCAAACTTTCTTCTCACTTAGACATTGTGCAAACACACAGCAAAAGCAAAGAAACACAATGACAATTGCTGGATATTTTTAAGTTAATGACAATGTTACACTGTGCCCTGAGCGAGCAGCTGTGTGGTGCTTAGTTGCCAGATGGGGTTAAACCACGACATATGCAAATTGTTTAAACTGAGAAATAAAAACTGGGGGAAGGTTTTAGAATCAATCTGCTTCTTAAATAACTCTTCTGAAATGCTATTTTTCCATCACTTCTTTTGTTTTAATGACTAGAATATTTAGACGGAAAAATTGGACCTTATGGCTTCAGGCACTTTACTCAAGGCAAAAGACAAACCTCTTTCACAGAATTGGGTCTTCCAGCTTGGAATGTAACGACCTATCTACATAGCTTGAAGGAAGACTAAAATGACTACTAATTGTAAAATTCCACCAAGTTTGTATTATTTATTTTAAGAGAGATTCTAAATCTTGGATAAGCATTTGTTCACGGACAAGACTGGAACCTAATTACAGTTAGAAATTACATTCTTCTAGATATGTACAAAATGATAAATAAATATGATTGTGACAGCAGATTCATTTTTTTTCTGTGGAAGAAGGATAGATAAATAAGAATAGTGAAGTAAAATAGGGATAGTAAGAAGATGAGAGAGACTAATAGACTGGATCCCCAAGGAACTTGGATATAGGAATGCTTAGTGTTACAACAATGACACAAGCAATCTTCACAGTGTTGAGGGAGGTGCCCAGTCTCCTAAACCCTGGAAATGCTAAACATTTCAGAACAGTATTTCCAGCATCAATAGTGCAGGGAAAAAAAAATAATAATTTGTTACAACTGCTACAAAATACCAATACTGGTACATATGAATTTTACCTCCGTCAAGAACTTAAATACATTATTCCAAGATTCAGAAAAGCACATACTTGAACTCTAGGTACACATAGGCATACTGTTTCTGGCAGCTGGTACCCAAGCCTGATTCTTCAAAAACATCAGAAACTGGAGAGACGATTGTCAAGAGCATGCAGTATTTACACAGAAGCTTAAGATTTCAAACAACTCACTTGGTTATTGGAGAGCGGTGATGGGAAGTGATGAGTGTGTAAATTTTTTCCTGTGTTAACATGAGTAAGTCGTATAGCTTGCCCACATTTCACCGGTGTCCCACGCTGGCAACTGCCGTCACTCTTCCCACGAATGCGCCAGTAGCTGTTGGCATCATCGGAAGCTTCAACTCCTGTCACTGACTGCTGCCCACTCCCTGTTTGAACAGAATTGAACGGCAGGACACTTAACCCACTTCCCCCGTTCAAAAAGTCCTCAAAGAACTACAGAAATTTGCTTTAATGTTCTCATGCCTTCACGTTTAAGAGAGGTTTAATCTGTTTACTGACAGCACAGGGAACGCAGGTACCAAAACAATGTTTCAGGCTGAAGAAGTTAAACACGGCTTGTGTTAGTAGATGCAAATTGTCAGAGTTCATGGTGAGCACGAGAAGAAAAGCTGATCCGTGATGGATGCTGCTCACGCCCTCCCACCTTTCTCAAAAATACCACCAAGTTCTTCGTGCCCCC